GGTGCTGGTAACGTCCTGGCTCTCTCTTGGTGTTTAGGAGTTCGCTCAGGACCACCAGCAGTTCCTGCCCCCCTGGGTCCTCTATTTTAGTTGCACTACAGAGCTGGAGCGGTTCCTCTCAGCGCTGAACACTGCTTGGAGGAACATCTACCAGGTGAGCGGGCAAGGCTGTAGTGCACCCATCCTCCAGCAAGGGTGCATTTTTCCCTGCAGGGTGAACCCACCAAGGGCAGGAGAACCACGGAGCTTCTCCATGTCCCTTGGGTGTGGGATTCGGAGTCCCCTGGCCTGCCCTGAGCATCCAGAGATGCCAAGAGGAGCAGGGAGGAAACTGGATCAGCCCTGTCCCCTCCATCACCCATATTTATGACACAGGCGCCTTTCCCGTCTGTTTTTGGGGTGGTTTTACATCAAGGAGGAGAAGCGGCCGTCGTTCGTTCCCCTCCTGACTGCCCCACGCGTGTCTTTCAGGTTGACCTCCTGCACAAGGCCACCGTGGACGCCGCCGTCAAGAAGAAATGCGAAGACGCCCAGAGCCTCATCGAGAGCGCCTGGCAGCGCAGCGACAGCCTCTGCCGCGGGCGAGCGGAGCGGGACCCCTGGTGTTAACCCTGGTGAGGGGAAGGACGGCTGACGAGGACCCGTTTTTGGAGAGCGGGGCCTGTATCCCGCTGCCCCGCGGCCAACCGGCACCCCAAACGCTGCCGCCATCACTTGGTCCCCACCAGCAACGTGCCTGCGGCGGTGGATGGGCGCTCCCCAGGGACGCCCAGCACATTTTGGGGAGCAACTGGACACTTCACCGGGCTGGAGGCACAGCCAAGCTTGGCTGCTTTCCGTGTACAGCGACCCTGTGCCCTCCTCCTTCTCCAGCTGCCACAGGGCCAAATAATTTGCCATTCATGGAATAAAATCCCACTTGGAGGGTGGGAGCAGGGGCTGAGCAGCCCCCTGGCACGGCAGGGAGCGGGACAGAGGAGTTGTTCATTTTAGAACAACGTTGGGATGCGGAGGTGGCGAGGGGGGACGCCAAATCGCTCCCATGCATGTTTTCTCCTTGCTCATACAATCACCGAGTGCGGCACCGCTTCACCTCCTCCCGGCATCTCCTGCTGCCGGGAGATCTCACCCGGGGCCTCCGGACATCACTGAACCACTCCTAAGCCTGGCGCTGAGATTTGAGGCTAAAAAGGAAGAAATAGGGCCAAAACTTTGGCCTTGACCATCCAGCTGTGGTTTCAGGAGATCTCAGAAGCTGGTGTGAGCACTGGACACTGGCCTTGTCACACGGCTGCCACCAAACGTGTCCCCATCTCCTCGGCTCACCCCATCCCAGGCCAGCGCGGATTGGTTGCCGCTTGCCCTCTGCTGCGAGCCCTTTGGGGCACAGCCCCAGCTTTTAATTAATAATAATAATAATAATAATAACAATAATAATCCAGAGACCTTCTCATGTAATATACGTTCACGGGGCCTTTTTCTGGGAGGAAACGTACGTGACTGAATGTATATGTATATACATCTGCTTCCTGTCCCCCTGCCCAAATAAATACCCATTGGGAAGTCTGATCTGGGCTGGGCGCTGCTGTTCCTGCTCCCCCCGTGGTGTCAGAGCTGCGGCTTCGCTTTCACACAGAATCACAGAATTGCTCGGTTGGAAAAGCCCTCTGAGATCATCACGTCCAACCGCTCCTGTCTGCCCCCTAAACCATATCCTTAAGTACCTCGTCTACCCACTCTAAACACATCCAGGGATGGTGACTCCACCACCTCCCTGGGCAGCCTGTTCCAGCTTCTGACGACCCTCTCAGTAAAGAACTTCCTCCTTATCTCTAAAAACTCCCTGGGCCCAGCTTGGTGCCGTTTCCCCTTGTTCTATCCCCCATCCCCGGGGAGAAGAGACCAGCACCCACCTCTCTACAACCTCCCTTTAGGTATTTGGGGCAGGGAGAAGGGGGACAACGTGCACCCTGGCTCCTTGCTGCACCCCAGCAGGGTTAACCCGGGGGGAGGGAATTATCCAGCTCTGGCCCCTTTATCCCTGGATCTGGGAGATGCTCCCAGTTCCACAAAGAATAAGAAGCCATGGGGCCAGCTCTCACCCTCCCCATTAACTCTCCTTCCCCTTTTGGGATCAAGAGGGGTGTTTCGGGGGGATATCGAGGATGCGGCAGCCATTGCCAGAGGGGACACTCTGGGCCCACCCCCAGTAATGACCGAAGTGGCTCAGCCACGGCTGCACCGCGGTGTAAACCCGGGTGCCAAGAGGGGGATCCGCACAGAGCCCTAAAAAGAGGAAACCGCGGGGGGTGGACGGACAGCGGCCCCCCCACCCCGCAGCGTTTTTGCCTGGGAAGCCCCAATTTCCCCGCGTTTCGGTCACCCCGGAGGGGCTGGCACGGAGAGAAGGGGGCGAGAGCG